CCCTGGACCTGTGTGGAGGCGGTGTGAGAGCTGGAATAAAGAATTGCTGTTTGAACCTACAAAGCTGTGTGGTGGCTCGTGATTCTGGTGCCAAGCCGAGACCTTGGCATTATAATTAAACAATGATATAATAAATAACAAATATTTATCATTTGTTACCCTCCCACATTATTTTAAAATAATCCCTAGACAATATATAATTCTTTTCATAAATACTATAGTGCATCAATATTTTCTTTGAAATGGAATGAAATGCCACTATTTTTCTCCATTCACCTCCCAATCTAACTCTTATTTATTGTCTCATCATTTCTTCCTTTCCCCACTACTACAGTTTTTTTTTAATGAAGTGTTTCAATAGGAAAAGGGTCAGGGGCAGTAATAGTAAGAAATGGAAGAGCCCGGAAGTAATCGTGGAATCCATTCATTCTTTGATTCACTAAGCAAACATTTTAGACTTACTGTTACTGGGGCCCAGGCCAGAGGCCTGAATCTGGGGTCCTGACTAACTGTACTTAAGTCACCAACCCACATCAGAAATAAGTGAAAGGTGATATAAAAATGAAAAACAAATTTCATGACCATTTGACCCAAACTGGGAAGGCAGCTAATCTGCCTTTGCCCATACTACAGAACTACAATTCACAGGATCAAACACCCAGGAAATACACAAAGGTAGATTCAGCCAGGCTGTGTAATCAAGAAATATAATTCTGGTTCTTTGACTTTTGTTGCATATTTCTGGCACCAGGCTGGGGTTTTGGGGGACACTTTCAGCTCTCATTCTCAGCCTGAAATGATCACCCATAGGAAGCTAGGATAGAGAAAATAGCTTAACTAACAGGTTAGCAGGAAATGGTAGGGACTGAGGAAAAAAATTAGGGGGTTCTTTGAAAATTTCTAATTTTAAGTGAGCCCCATTACATTATCATCTCCCAAAGTCTTAGGGAAACTCAAGTTTTGTCAATATAGGTGGCTGTTCAGATAGGTGCCACAGTGCTGTCTTTCATCAGATCAACCAGAGGGGGGCGGGGAAGAAGAAGAATAAGGAAAGAAAGGTAAAAAGGAAGGAAAAGAAACAAGAAATAAAGTTTAAAAGAGAGAATCCCTCACCACCTTCCATTAGGAGTGGTATCGTGCATTTTTTTTTTTTCCGACTGGACAGAACACTACAAGATTTGTCCTTGAAAAGAATATTGAGGCCAAGATAAGTAAACTGACTTGCTTAAGGTCATAGGCTAGTTAATATTTATTTATTTTAAGGAACTTGGTCACAAAATTGTGGAGTCTAGCAGTCCAAAATCTGAAGAGTAGGCAAACAAAGTGGATTCATAAGAGATGATCTTGCAACTTGAGTTCAAAGGCTGTTTGGAGGCAGAATTCCAATTTCCTCGGGGAACCTACCTCTTTTTTTTTTTTTTTAAAGACCTTTAACTGATTGAATGAGGCCCACTCAAATTATGGAGGAATATCTGCTTTATTTAAAGTCTACTGACTGAAATCCTAGTCCCATCTAAAAAATAACTTTACAGAAACATCTAGAATAATGTTTGATTAAATATTTGGGTACTGTGGCCTAGGTAAGTTCACATAAAATCAACTATCACAGAAGACAGAGAATAAGACCTTCAGTATATGAAGATGAGGAGAAAAATAACTCAGTTCTTAATATGCTATTGCTTCCTTTGCTATCTGGAAAAGGTGTGGTACCATGGATGAAGTTTGAATGCCATTGAAAGAATGGACTTTAGGAACTGTGACATTTTCAAGTCCTAATTTCCTCATTTAAAGACTGGATAATTAGCTGGTTGTGGTGGTGCACACCTGTAATCCCAGTGGCTTTGGAGGCTGAGGCAGGAGGACTGCAGGTTCAAAGCCAGCCTCAGCAAAAGAAGGTGCTAAGCAACTCAGTGAGACCCTGTCTCTAAATAAAATACAAAATAGGGCTGGGGATGTGGCTCAGTGGTCGAGTGTCCCTGAGTTCAATCCCCAGTACCCGCCCTCAAAAAAAAGACTGGATAATAAGAAACACAAGGTCACACAGTTTAGTCTCCAAGTCTGTTATACTCAAATAAACTTTTAGACCTATGCAAATTGTGCCTGCTTCAAACTCTTAAAAGTGTGATATGAATGATTTAAGATTTGATTAAAACATCATATTATCATTTAAAATTGATAGACCCAACCTGATCTTTTATTAAAATTGGGAGCCATCTTGCCACAAAGCGATGAAAAGATAATTTCGGCTTTACTATAAATTACTGCAAATTTTGAACCTGCTTGGAATGCCTGCCCGTGTCTTGAACTCACCCATGCCTGGCTCTCTGACCAGATAGCAGCCCTCTCTGAAACTTCAGTGACACCTCACAAATATTGGCCTTCCCTGGCCAGACAATGACCCCCTCTTAGGCTCTAATGGTCCTCATAAATTCTGATGTTGGGGCCAGCAAAAAAAAAAAAAAAAAAGTAAACTACCATTAGTGTGATGCTTGTCAGAGTTCTGTTATCTGTAACCCCCCTTTTGTGTAACTTGCTGGGCTATAAAGCTAGGCTATAGGAAAGGTGGGGCGGCTGTTTTGTTCCCGCCGTTTTGGGAGGGAAAGGCAGCCCGGCCGGTCAAAATAATAAGCTTGCTTTAATTTGATTTTAATTGGAGTCAGTGGTCTTTTCTTGTGTCCTGGTCTAACAAAAATTAGTTATGTTGATAGCAAACGATGGGGAAACATCATTGGTTGAATGAAGAAACTAGGTGAGCTTATGACATGGAATTGAATTATTTTTCCATTAAGAGGTCTGTCTCCCTTATCAGACAGGAAGATCCTCGAAGGCAAGGGATTAATTTATTCATTTTTGTATCCATAATGCCTGGCTGAATGTCTTATTTGAATAAATACATAAATGGAATTAGGAGGCTGAGATTCTAGAACTGACTACCACTGGCTAACTTTATGACTTTGGGCAAATTACTGAATTTGTATCATTCATAAATTTACTAAAAATATCACTGATGCATTTAATGATAGAATTGGAAGAAACTTCAAATTTTATCTGTTCCAAATATATTCTATGGGTCTATGGGATTACTGGTTCATTTGGACCACAGACCCATTACCAATATTTTAATGATAATAGTAATAATAGCTATGGAGTTTTGTAATATCCCCTAAAGCAAAGGTTGAACAGTTAAATTTTTTTCCAATTAAAAGAAGTTTAAATGAAAATTTTCCGTGTAATTGGCAAGGCATTTGCAGTTTATGTTTACCTTCTAGAGCTGCTGGGATCAGTTACTTATTCCTGTGCAGTCAGTTAAAATTGCAGATAGAGATCACACATTACCAAATGCTTCTTTTGTCAGTATGAGAAGTTTGCCAGGGGAGGGATGTCTTAGAAATGAACCCAGTAGTGCCCACACCAGAGCATTCTAAGGACCATCAGAATTGTGAGGCATCTGCTAGGTTATACTGGCCATCTCTCTCCTAGACTGGAGTTGTTTCTAGTCCTTTGCACTTAAGAGCAATGACCTCAAAAGCTAATCTGCTTTTACCATACTAACACTTCGAGGCACATTTTGGAAAAGGGGAGAGGTGGTGAGCATTATAAAGCTCTACTTCTGATCCTAGCATTATCATTAATAGTGTGACTTTTAGTTGCTTTTCTGGATCCAATTCTCCTTACCTGAAAAGGCGAGAGGTTGACTAAAAGAACCTCTAGAGTTCCTTCCCCCGCGCCTCATAAATTTTTGTCCTAAGGATAAACTCTCAGTTCAACTGGTCTCGTGTGTGTGTGTGTGTGTGTGTATGTGTGTGTGTGTGTGTGTGTGTGTGTATGTGTGTGTTTTTTCTGGGTTTTCCTTCCTTCTATAACCATTTATTGAGTGCCTCCACTCCTCGAGAGCAGGGCCTGGGTTTTATTCATCTCTCCCTCAGTACCTATCACAGTGCTTTCAAGTAGGGTTAAAGTTGGTTACTATATATGAATTTATCTATGGAGATGCTCACAGTTCCCATGGGAAAGTACTAGGCAACATCAATTAATCACGGAATTAAAAACCGGTTTTCAACTTCCTGCCACTTATGTAATACAATAGCACAGAACCGAACGAATGTTACCATTCATAGCTACGAGTGCTTTTAATATACTAGTGCTTTCATGTATCACCTCAAGTCCTAGGTTGCAGGTATGGGTTCCACGTTTCGCAGAGGCGTAGAGGTGTTAAGTAACTTGCCCAGGTAACTAACACCGTTAGAAGTGAATCAGGTAGTACTTAATCGCTGACAGTGCAACCGAAGATCCCGGCTCCCCGGGTAGGAAAATGAGAAAACACACACACACAAGAATAATCTTCGAATTTCTCGCAGAAGGTCTGGCTACTCTGTGGAAGACTGATGAATTCACGCAGGGGAAAGTGGCTAAGTCGCTGCAGAGGGCAGGCCATATAGGCTGCCAAACAAGTGCGGGTCGCGGGAGGCAGGGGAGAAAGAAGAAAAAAAGGAAGACGGAAAAAAAGAAAAGTTGAAAAAGTACTTCTCCGGGTAGGCTCACACAGGCAGAGGTTAGGCAAGCAGGAAAACAGAAATCTACAAGTAGGATCTGGAAAGCGCCGGGATCGCGCAAGAACCGAGGAACAGGTCGGAAGTGACGCTTACTAGCGGAATTGAGCGCCTAGCTAGACAGCGGGCCGGGGCGGAAGTTCTGCCGGACGTGACGTATCGGAAGTTACTCCCGGAGGAGGCACCTGGTTGCAGAAGGCGACGTAATGGGCGGGGCGGGGCGTCTATGGTGTATGGGAGCTTTGGATCCCCTGCAGGTAACCTTCGGGCGGGAACTGATCCCGGGTGGAGGTGGGACCTGGGGTCGATGTCTTGGGTCGCTCCTGACCCTGGGCTTGGGCAGAGAGCTCTCACATTAGGTAGTGATTGCAGGAAGGCTCCTTGAAGAGACTCCCTGAATGGATAGGAATACAGAAAACTCTTTGGAACAGGATCGTGGGGTTGAGGTCTTTGACGGTCTTCTACTCTTCTAGGAATCGGTGGGTCCTGACCTCAGGTCGTGGTGGAGAGATGGAGTCTGGGCACTGAGATGAGCTAACGTAGGGCTCACTTATCACCTACCCCGACCCGTTATGGAAGTAGGGGACAAGGACTTCTTTTCGTCTCTGAATTCGTAGGACAGTGCATTGCCAGTTGTAGGTGTCTATAGACGCTATCAGAGGAATAAATTAATTACTGGATTAAAGAACCCGATTCTGGTTTAGCAGGACAACTTCTACCATACCTCAGTATCTCTACCTCTGAATGTAGACATGATTCCAGTTTTCTTACTAACCGGTAATTTGTGAGTATGCTGGTGTAAGAGACATACAGGACATTGTTATTTTGTTTTATTAGAATTAGGGAAATTTACACATATGCATTAATACTTTTCTCCGAGTAGAGAGGATAAGGCAACTATTTAGCTTCCTTCAGGTTTCTTTACTTTTCTGGGAAGGATTTTTCAGAAATTGATCCCAGGGAAGTCTTAAAATGATAAGCTACAGTTGGATTACTGAACTGCTAATGGGTATCTTAAATGCTTTCTTTTCATCAATATAAGCTGATTTCCTTTTTGTTAATATTTTCTGAAGTTGGGGGTACTAGATGTAAATGAGAATGATTTTATAACTAAAATGGAAATAAGAACTTATAAAAATCCAAAGGTTTCACCAGGTGATACACATAAGAAACAGTTGTAGGAGGCCCCAGAAGAATGAATCCCTGAAGATTATTTTCCTTGTAAAAAGTGCCTTCAGTGGGCTGGGGATGTAGCTCAAGTGGTAGCGCGCTTGCCTGGCATGCATGGGCCCGGTTTTGATCCTCAGCACCACATACAAACAAAGATGTGTCCTCCGAATACTAAAATAAATAAACAAATAAATAAATATTTTTTAAAAAGTGCCTTCAGTGTCATGAAGGGAGGCATGTACCTGAAAATCAAGTACTGTAACCAGATTTTTGTTGTTAAATAGAATAAAACGCAGATGACACACAGGCTAGATGATGAGATTTGGGCATGAATCACTATCTAGATGCAGTCCCAGTGAGGTGTTTGTGTGTATGGAATAGCTAGTGAAATGTAGCTCTTGAGAAGTTCCAGAATCCTATAATTAGATTGGTGAGAATTGTGTAGAAACCCAGAATTTATGCCATATTGTTAATTGTTTGTGTTGTATGTGTATGTAGTTTGCTTTTTTATTTTTACAAAAAAAGAATTAGTTAGCATTTTTAGATTTAAAACCTAAGATGTTCTTAAAATAGGTTAAAAACCCCAAAAGTAGACATGTAACTACATAATTACTATAATTAAATTTTACAAGTTTTTCTATCTTTAAATCTTTTTCTGATTTCTCAAAGGGTTGGAATGGAAATCATCCCCATCTTTGAAGGCTGTTACTGTGGTGCCTTGTTTACAGTACATATAAATGTGATGCACAGCAGTGTTTTGAGATCCTCTAGGTTAAGTTAATATTGTCTTAGTCTAATTTTGCCACCTCAGTTTGCTGTTCAATGTTATGTCCACTAAACTTTCCACATCTGAGTGTTTAGTAGTATAACTATTATTCATGATGGATTGGCATCCAAGTAGTAATTTAGTGCATTGACATTCTTGAGGTTTTCAGTTTTTACAGAGCACTGATATCTATGGACTCTAACATGGACTTCATTTAAAGAAACCCACGGACCATTAATGGACAAAAACATGAATCAATTTGTATTGTGGCATTCAAATCCTAGCACTTTGGGAGAGGTAAGTTATTGACTGTGATATATGTTAGGTGAGATAGTAGAGAAGCCCTGGATGGGCCAAGGAAATTTCAGGATTGTAATTAAAAAATATAACCTGAATACCTATGTTTTTTAGTCAGCATCTTCCCAAGAGAGGTTTGTTTTGTATGTATGAGGCAATTACTATATCTTTGTCAAGTTGATCAGAAATTAAAGAGATTGACCAACTATGTTGTATCTGGAAGATTATTTCTCTGCTTTCTTTTATGGGGGAAGTGGTATCTCCTTTCAACACTTTAGAGCCTGGTAGAAATAAATAAATTTGCAGGCACCCTGTATAAATTAAGCCTCAAACAGTCATTTAAATCATGTTGCTTCCAAGTTCAACTATTTAATAGTATATGTCTCAAATCTGCTGATCCGTTGTGCCTTAAGTTTAAGTAACGGGTCCAAAAAAATGTCTTTTTTTGGTTTATCTTGCTTTATTTATGCTATTTTCTTTTCATTTGTTTCTCCTTTGTCTTTTTCTCTCTCATGATTCATTCTCCCAGCCTTTAAAGCTTCACCTTTTTCTACTTTATGTCTTATAATTCATTAATTTGCTTATTTTCAAAACCTTAAATTGTAACTTTGTGTGATAATAATTGGCACCTTAATCACTAAGCATTTAACCTGTAGTTTTTCTGGCCTCCTTTGTAGGTATTCTGGCTTCTTGTTTAGAATTTGTCATTCTAATAGCAGGTATTACTTCTCTTAGGGATTCATGTTCATGTGTGTTTGTACTTGGACATAAAAATTCCAAAGATATTAATCACCATATTGTTTGAAATTAAAAAGCAAAATAAAACTAGAAATAATAATAGACATGCTTCAACAGATGTATGGTTAAATAAATGCTTTCATGTAGTATTGTAATTTACAGCTATTAGGAAGAATGAAGTGGATCCAGATATGCAGATATGGAAAATTCTAAGACACATTGTTAAGTGAGAAAAAAAATATATATATATATAGGCTGGGTGGGGCTGAGGCAGGAGGATTACAAATTTGAGACCATCCTCAGCAATTTAGTGAGACCCTCAGCAACTTAGCAAGATCCTGTCTGAAAATATAAAGGACTGAGGATGTAGCTAAGTGGCAAAGAGGCCCTGGGCTCAATCCTTAGTACCATAAATAAATAAATAAATGCATACATACATAAATAAATGAATAAATGGAAGCTGTATGTATAGTATGTTTCTATTTGTGTTTATTTTTATTTTGAGACAGGGTTATGGTAAGGCTGAGGATGGCCTCAAACTTGTGATCCTCCTGCCTCAACCTCCCCAGTCAGTAGGATTACATGCATGTTCTGCCACCCCACTTGGCTTTCATTTGTGTTTTAAAGAAGCATATATTTAAGCCAGGCATGTAATTCTAGCTTCTTGGGAGGCTGAGGCAGGAAGATCCCAAGTTTGATGCAGCCTGGGCAACTTAGCAAGACTCTGTCAAAAGAAAAAAAAAGCATATAGAAAATCTTTTCAAATATATATAAGGAGTTATAAATAGAATTCCTGGAGAAATGAGATGAGCAGTCTAGAATAGGAAGAAGACTAACATTTTTTAAAATGTATGCTTTTTTCTGATGGATTAAATTCTTTACTCTGAGCATGTTCTTATTTTAATGAGATTCAGAAACAAGCAGCAAGGCCTTGGGATAATTTAATAAATGTGAGCCTATTACTATTCTTTATGACTTTCTGTTCTTATAATTGTTTGCACTGTTTAAAAGGAGAAGGATTATATGGTGCATTAAGGTTTTTTTAGAGCTGCAAGGAAGATTTGGTGATATTATAATAGGTTTTAAACCTTGACATTAGAGTTTACTATTAATGAAAACTTACAGAATACTGATACTTAGTTGCTGCTGAATTCAATATTCCTGTACAGTATATAGCATGTCACTAACCTGATCAAGTGATGTGGTAGTTGTTTGCAAGCTACCTTTGTATTGCTTTGGCATGGTTCTTCTGAGCTTCTTGGTTTTGCCGAATAGAATGGACTTTGTTTTATTTGAATTGCTCTTTACATACTCTCTCTCTCTATTTTTTTTACTGGGGAAGAGGCTAGGGATTAAACACAGGGCCTTGCACATGCTAGGTGGGTGCTCTACTACTAAGCTATATCCCCAGCCCCTGGATTCCCAATTGTTTAAACAAGTCTTACAGTTATTAGTTCACTTTGTTCTTGATGCTTAGAAATGGTAAGGGATTCCAAAAAATGGATTATTCTCAGTTAGTAAAACAAGAAAGATAATTTGGATATACATGCATAATCTCATTTGATTTTACTTTGATTTGGCTGATTATTTGCCCTGGACTCAGCAGAAATGTCTGGTGACTTTTATTCCTCTAGCCACCTTTCTTACAAACCTTTATTGTGAGACATTTTGTAATAACAGTAATGGGTAATAAAATGAACTATATAAAAAATAAAAAATCTTCATTTCATTAGTAAAGGGATTTTATTCGAAAGTCAGTTGAAATGGGTTTCATACCTATATGATGCCACTGATTTTTTTTTGTCTTGTTCAAATCATAATGAAGGTCACTAATCTAGGGGCTGAGCCATGATGAACAGAATAGAATAGGTTATGATATGTCAGGTATTTATTTATATTTGTGGATCTGGAAATAAAACCCAGAGCCTTGTGTATGTTAAGCAGTTACTCTGCCACTAAGCTATACCTTCCTGGCTATTATATTATTTGTTTTTTAAAATACCTTCATTTTATTTATTTATTTTTATGTGGTACTGAGGATCAAACCCAGTGCTCTACCACTGAACTACAACCCATACCATATATATATATATATATATATTTTTTTTTTAAATGGAGTTTTACTTTATTCCTCAGGCTGGTCTTGAAGACCTGGGCTCAAGCAATTCTCCTGTCTTAGCCTACTGAGGAAATGGGACTACAGGTGTGCATATTTTATACCATACTTTCGAGAATTTTGGGTATAGTCATCTCTGTTAAATGATGCTTTGTTTCTGAAAATCCAAATTTAGTCCTGGAGAAGATATAGAACTGGTCAGGAGTGGAACAGATTGTGTGGAGAGACAGGGAAGTCTATAGAGTTGCTTAACAGAGTGTGACCATCAGAATGTTATAAGGGGTGGGGATTCTCATTGTACAGGACAATCTACTAGATTATTTTGATGGTCCCTTTCAAATCCTAAAGTTTCTTTTATAATGCAATAAACTGATTTATTATAGATATGTTTATATTCTGTTACCCTATTATTACTTAAGTAATTACCTGAATTTCTTAATTTTTCTGTGCCTTGGTTTCTTCATTTATTATCCCCATATTCACAACTAATTCTTGCAATTGTGAAGATTAAATGAATTAATCTACACAAAGTATATAGAACAGATTGTAGACTCAGCAAATATTATTAACACTTTTTAAAAGCTTAAATGTTTCTTGGGGAAAAGGCAAGTTTATAGGAGCATATTTTTAAAAAAGGTTACAGTGAACAAAAAGTTAAGATAATGAAATTAAAAATCCTCTCTAAACAGAGTAAAGTGGGGTGGGGATTGAACAGATGCTAGCATTCCTCTCAGGGCATAGGCTGTGTAATTATTTCCTGAGCTAGAATTTCAGATCGCTATAACTGTTCTTTGATTACATTATACTCGTGTTTATAGTATTTTTGCTGTTTTTCATTTGAACCTTGCAAAGTGGTCAGAATTTTTCCATTTGAAGATAAGTTACTTTCATTCATCATTCAAAAAAATATTTTCCAACCATAATATTCCTACTTCAACTTCTTTCTCTATTCCACAAAATCAACTTCATTTTATACTGTGTCTTCCAACAAGCATTTTGGCTGTGCTTTCAGAGATCAAAAGCTCTGTAAGACAGTCTTATACTTTGGATAATGATCAAAGAGATTAAGAAATTATTAAATCATTTTTATCTGATTACTGCCTCTACATGAGTCTGTAAGAATTTCAAATTCTGTTGCAATTTGTAGTGAAGAACATTAATCAAAGAGATAAGTCAATGAATATATTCTGTATACTATGGCTTTTTAAAATAGTTTTCTTTTCATTCTTTCAGCATTGTATCTAGTGATCTGATTAATTATTGACCAAAGAACTTTTTAACTTCCCTTTTTAAAAACAATTATTAGACTTGCTAGTAGAATTTTTTGTGTGTGTATGTTTTGTTTTCAAGCATCAAGTACCAAGTTTTTGAAGACTATGACCCACCATACCATCATTATGCATTCAAGAGTTGAGTATGAATAACTACATCAAGATTTAGATCCTCTTCAAAAGCTTCAAGTGTCATCTGCATTAAAGCTCTCCATTGAACCCTCTCACAAAAATAAAAGCTGAAAGGGACCCAACTCCATTAATATACTTTAAAAAATATCCCTTCCTCTGACTTCAGTTTCCTTGACCATTAGGGTCTTTCATATTGCTTATGTTCCTTTAGACAAGAGCCAACAAAATGGTGTATTCCAAAAAATATGCTCTATGGCCATAAGTTTTTCTTGGTAGGACAGAATAAACTTGGCATAATAAGTTTGGAATTAGGTCTTTTATTGTAGCCTACAAAAAGTTGGATCAAGAATATGAAAATGAGACTTAAATGTTAAAAATATTTGAAGTTAGTAGAGTATATGCTTTGCATGAGTAAGGCCTGGATTCAATCCCCAGCATCAAAACCAAAACCAAAAAGCTTCCCATATATTTATGAGGTTAGATTACACTCTCTATGTGTTCTAGAGAAAAGAGCCCCCAACCTGAAATTTGATGGTTTTTATTCTATCTCTGCCTCCACCTCTTACTAGCTATAATGATAATAGGGAAAGTCATTTAACTGACCTTATCTTCATTATCTGTAAAGGAACTTGGTATTTTCCCTGCCTACCTCACAGGGTTGTTGTGAGGTTCAAATGAAATAATATACATAAAAAGACAATAAAATGTGCAATACAGATGTAGGGACATGTGTTACATGATTG